ATTTATGGAGTAGTTGGCTTAATATTTAACAAAAAAATAAATAAACAAATGTAAGAAATAAAAATTCACATTGCTTCATGTTCAAATTAATTTGTATAAATTCTTCATAACCTCTCACAACGATATATTTACATATCAGTGTTAATGTTCGTTCAATGCAAAAAGAAAAAGAAATTATAGAACTCTTGAAAAGTCTGATGAAATCTCTATAAGTTTTGAAGAATACTAGTATAACTTTTGCGGATTTCTAATAAATCCTACATAATTCATGAGAATCCATTAGAATTGATAAAATCTCACAAAATCCCATTCTTAGTAAAATCTTAAAATGTCTTTTAAAATCTTAAACGAATACACCTCCCTTAATCTTTGCTTCTATCATAATTGCCGCCAAAATGAATAATAATAATAATAATAATAATAATAATAATAATAATAATAATAATAGACTTTAATATTCTGGTGGTAGATTTATATTTCAATACATTGACATACAGATATAAATGCTATGAACAGGCGGGGGAAGTCATTTATGATTTCTGCATTGGATAGAAAAAAGATAACTCCGTATTACATTACAAACATCTCAGTAGCAATCGAAAAGTAGCCTTCATTTGGGAATTCGGGAAATATATGAAGAAAGTCCTTCTAATTAAATAAATAAAAGTTAGAGGACTAAAGTAAAATAATGGTTACCTTAAAAAATAGGACAATGCTACACGTACCGCAGCTTGTACCGCAGGGTTTACACTTTGGTTGAAAAACGTATTCTCAGAATACGTTTTTCAAATAACTAGTGCAGATCCCGTACGATGCACGGGGAGCACTGTTTTAAGGTTGTTTACCCAGTTTTAATTATATTTGTGAATAAATAAAATTAAATAAATAGAACAAAGAATATTGTTATATATTATTGAATACATCCTTGTAGACAATACTTTTTGTCTTATAAGCATACCATCCTCCCCGCAACTTAATAATTTCAAGCCTTTTCGATTAGTGACACTGGAAACAACTACATACAACTGTCCGTGACTGAACATGGACTTCTTCAAGAACATGTCAACATGTGATAAAAATGACACCGACTCTTGTTAATCGTCATAACATAAGAAATCATTAAGAGAACTTTATCTGCTGAAATTCAAAAGTACTATAAAGTTAGAAGGAGTTAGTCATCCGAGATGTCAACACCGTATCTCCTGCATTAGATCTAGTCAATACCATTCAAACACATGAGTAGAGAGCTTTGTGACAACCAATATTGTACCATACATTGAAGTACATGAGTTGCAATGAAAATAAATGAAACTCACCTCCTCTTCATGAAATATGATTTTCATGTAGTTTTTATATTCAATGCGAGCAATTATTCAAATGTACCTGCAACATCAAGCATGGTTTATTTTTTCTTGAAACTTGCTTTGCCAAACCGAATTTGCACTTCATGTTAAAGGTATTGTAATTATCTAGAAGCAAAATTAAAAAGAATATTGAGCATGTGAGATATTACTTGACTTGTCTATCTAATTATAGAATTAGATAGACACAACTTATGGTCTAGAAATTGCATCAATTTAATTAATTTTATTTATTTATTTATTTTAAATTATAATGATTTGATAATTTAAAGTATAATTAATTTTAAAACAAATACTTATATATGTTGCAAGATTCACCATGTACAGTACTAATATCTCAGCACACATTTTTTATTTGTAAATTGGTACCTATCACATATTTGGCAAAATAAATCTTTATATACAGCTTGGTTATTTTGAATATCTCGAGACACACATAAAGTATAAATTCAGATTATTGTGTTATGGATCTATATTTGTTAGGTATCTATATATAATAATTTCAGTCGATAACATTTTTATTTAAAGTTTATTTCCTTATTTTCAGAACATTCAAACAAATTATATTGATTTTATTCTACGCATTTTTTAAGCAAAAGATCGAAATAATCTTCAGAATTGATTATATAGGTATAGATACGGAATACTGATATCACTTTACACGCAAATACAAATTTAATAATTGTTTTCTTTTGTTATGGATATTTATTAGTTACATTTTTATCTATGGTCAGTTGCATTTTTTGTTAAAAAATCACAATAAATAAACAATTTAGAAAAAAAAAAATTTATAATATATATTTAATCCATAATTATTTTATATAAAAAATACCCAATATAGAATAAGTAATTCGAATTAGATAATTTAAATAGCTTAAAAGTTTATTTTTTTAATTGTGGATATTTATTAGTTTTCTTATGATTACGCAAATCAAATGATACACTTTATTCCTAAAGTTTGTGTTTTGGGGAATTTGTATCTCCAGATTTTAGAGACTGATATATGTGATTAGTATTACCATAAAGAATCAACTGCATTTACTTGAATTGTATCTTAAAAATATCAGCTTAATAGATCAGCCGCAATTACCTAAATTGTACCATAAAATGTATAAATAATTTCTAGATTTAGAAAACAATATATATA